ATGTATACTTATTAAGTATCCTCCTAAGGAAGAATTAAAAAAAAATATTTCCATCAAGTTGACTACCTATTTCGCTGGTTGGAGTGGATACTATAGATACCTCCAACTGTATACAGATGACAGAAGAGAGGCAGGGGTTCTGTGGTTTGGTCAGTGCCTAGGGCAGCTAAAGAAAGCTGTAATAGGATGTGTGTGATCTATAATGGGCAGTGAAGAATGTGCAAAATGGGGCAGGTCATTTTGGCTGAGGGAAACCACAGCATTAAAGCAAAAGGCAAAAAAGTCAGGGAAGATATCGTGCGTAGATAGAGCATAGATTTGAGGGAATAGCCAGGGTGGATCAGGAGAACAAAGCTCACACCTGTTGGTGCCTGATACAAGTAGCACCATGCTAGGGTTTTGAACACATTTTTCTCATTTCTCACCACATATCTCTGAGTGATGAAGGATTGTATCCCCATTTTACTTCTGAGGGACTGAGGCTCAGGGTAAGCCACTAGTGGTTGTTCCCTGCTAGTGGTCGAGGAGTTCACATTTGAAGTCAGTTTGTCTTAACTTGGAAGTTGTCATAATAGGCCAGATATCCCTCCACTGTATCATTCCATTGTGCTTACAAGGTCAGCACTGACTCCCATTCTCAGGCATTGTGGAAGGGTTCTGAGCAGGAATGGGCATTCCCAGAAGTGCTCATCAGGGAAACGTGGAGGTAGGATGGAAGGCAAAAGTAGCCATCGCCACCATTCTAGTCCATGGGTGGTGGCCTGAAACCAATCTCACACCCAGACATTGGAGTCATTAAATGATTATTATCAGAACTCTAGTTTAGTTGCCACCTTGTCCAGTTAAAATTCTATGCCCAATTTAATTCTTTCCTATTATCTTTTAGTAGTACATGGGTTCCACTTTGTCATAATTCTTTTTTTTTCCAGATTTTTTTTTTACTTTTTAGATATACATAACAGTAGAATGTATTTTGACATACCATACATACATGAAGTATAACTTCCCATTCCTGTGGTTGTACATGATGTGAAGTTACATTGTTCATGTGTTCATATGTGAACACAGGAAAGTTATGTCTGATTCATTCCATTGCTTTTCCTATTCCCATCCCCCTTCTTCCCCTTCATCTAATTCAGTGAACTTTTATTCTCCTCCGCCCATTCCTTGTTGTAAATACCTTTTAGCTTCCTTAACCAAAACTTCTTCAAGTATGACTAACCCTGGACTAATTACTAAATGCCTGAGAAGTTCTTCATAATCCATAATACCTCTGAGATAACTGATATGATAAACTCTGACAGAAAAGATGTGCCACTTACCAAAACTGACCTTTCCTTTTATACTATGTCTGGAATGGTATATCAACAAGAAAAATGTAGAATATCTATTTTTCATACTTTAAAAACACATCTGGAACTGTTTAAGTTGAAGTCAAAGAAGTGCCAAGGCAGATTATGCCATACCTTCTTTTTTACTTAAAAAAAAAAAGGAAATGGAAAACATACCACTTCTAGAAGTCCCTGACAATGAATTGGATATTGAAATGGTATCAATAATGTATTTATATATGCCACATTTTCTTCCATGCATCAGCCATCTTTGGTACATATGTGTTGGATATTTGCCAAGTGAGAGAAATCTTACCAGATAGAGAAGATCTCCTTGTTTATAAGTGGTGTGAATCATTATGGTAGAAGTAAAGTCAGCCCTTTCTGATTAGAATTACCTTCCCTGCCTGATCAAATAGATTTTATCTCTTTTTCCTCTTTCTTTCTCTTTCCTCCTCCTTTTTTTAACCTCCTCCTCCACCTCTTCCTCATTTTAAAAAAAACAGTTCATGTCATTCTTTCAATAAATGTCAGCATTCCCCTCCAGCAACTAAAAAATAGAAATTACATACCAGAAAAGTATAATTTTCATGAACTTAAAAAATTACATGAGATATACTATAACTTAATATTGGTTTTACCATGTCCTCTAATTTGAAATGGAGTGAAATGCTTCTGTGGTTAAATCATAGCTCTTGTGCTGTTTGCTATAAAAGTTTCAAGAATATATATTTCAGAATTTTTTTTCCAAATAATCCAAAACAAATGCAGCAGAGCTCAGAATACTTGAAACATATTTTCTGAATTTATCTTAAATCTCTCTGCTCCAGAGGGTTTTTGTGTGTGTATGGATTAGGCCCGGCCCGTTATTTCACCATCTATCTCCATCCTGGATTGATTGCTCTGAACAGCACAGAATGAGTTACATATGGTCCCACTTTGTCTCAGTTTGTAGGACCTCTGGGTTGGAACTCCATTTGATCAGAGGGAAGCCAACCATCGCAGAAATTTGGCTAATGTCAAAATGCAATATATATATATATATATATATATATATATATATACAAACACACACATACATATATTCCAGTTAGAATGTGTATGTCCTGTTTTGGATGGTGGTATTTTTCTATCCATTGGTTTAATGGTTACTATGCTGAGAATGTTGATGGTATTTTAAAAATGAAAAAGAAATCACCTACCTATTCTGATGATGGTGCTTTGTACAGGAACCATGTTACAAATATGGACTGAGACTGGTATCTAATATGTTTTCCAGTCAAAATTATGAATAAGTCAAAACTCTGTCTCAAATTGAGATGAAGATAGAAATAAAAAGATTATTATAAATATAAATTCAGATCTCTGGCGTGAAGAGGAGACCCATTGACAGCTTCATTGACAGTCTGCAGCCTATTTTCTTAACGTGGACTATTTTGAAAAGAAAGAAGCATGGGTTTGAGATCTGTTTTAAAGTCTGTGTTTGGCCCTTAACTGTTATGAGGACAGGAAGGTGGAGCTGTGGCCATCAAGGGTCAGCTCCAAGGCCAGGGCACATGGATCTGTGAGGGCAGCTCTTCCCTGCAGACTCCGGTCTCTCTGTTGTTCTTTTCCCTCTTTCTTTTTTTTTTTTTTCTTTCCTTCTACTGCTTATTTGTTTCTTCATTCCTCCCGTCTCCCCTTCCCCCTCCTGCTCTTCCTTTCTCTGTCTGTGCAACCACGTGCTTCGAGTCTGTGTATCTGGACTGCCTTCGCTAACAGTTCCGTGTGAGTGTTAGCAGAATGAAAGCCAGATGGACCAGCAGTTCCCACTGTTATCTCCCAGCCGACTCTGGCAAGCCTCCCTCTCTCCCTCCTTTCTTGGCATGACAGAAATATTTGCCTTTATTTAGGGAGACTTGTATTTGCTGCTGTACCTCTTCCCTCAGCGGCAACATAAGCCGAAAGCTATTTATTCCCTTGTTGCTGAGGTTGGTTGAGGTGAGTAGAATGTGCAATGAATTTATTGAAGAAGCAGTTTTAAGTCTGCCTAACTTGGGTATTTTTTCTAGAATAAATGATGTACTGATACTACTTTCTAAATGCTCTGGAATAACAACAGGAAAACAAGTTTTTGAACAATAAGATAGAGGTAGAAAAACTCTGTGTCTGCTATCGTTTCACTCAGGACACTTTTATCCAATCTAGGACATTTACTGTTCAGCCAGAAGTAAAAAGGAAGAAACAGAGACCCTGATACTGTTACCTGATCATCATGCAAAATGCACTTATTAGAATTATTATTTTTATTCTTTTTATCAGATCTTTCTTAATATGGTGTCAATATTATTTTGATTTTTTAAAAATATTTTATTGCAAACTAAGTCTAAAGAAATTGTTTTGAACAAAGGTGAACTAGACTTGGAAATTTTGGGGGGGAGGGGTAAGGGTTGAACCCAGGGTGCTTAACCACTGAGCCATATATTAAGCCTTTTTAAAATATTTTATTTAGAGACAGAGTTTTTCTGAGATTTGGAATTGTGATAGTAACTTGGGCTTTTCATTTTCTTTTAATAACTGACTTTTAAGTAATTTTGAGAAATTTTCACGATGATTATAATATTTTAAAAGGCCTGTTCTTGAATAGTTTGTTATGTTACGTTGCTAAGACTTTGAATAAGAAATATTTGTGAGCTGTGGAAGCATCTAGAAATATTTTTGGTTGGTATATATACACAAATATTTATAGGAAAGTTGATCTAAAGAAACAACAACAAAAAAACCCACTTCATTTTTCCCAGAGATTTATTGCTTTAATAAGTAGATTGGATTGAGAAAAACTGTTCAAGATTTCAAGGGAAAAGTATACTTACGAGACTATAGTTCTGCATTATAAATGTTCATTGTTGAGTAATCAGGAAAATTCTCTGTATCTGCTCCATACTTAAAAAAAAATAGGCGTGTCTTTTGATTTTATTAGTTCTCAATTTGGGGCTTTTACATGCTGACTTGTCTGAGATTATTAATTGGAGTTCTGGTCTCATGTTTTCAAAGTGACAGGTCAAAGATGCACACATTTTAAGTAAATAATAGCTTGACTTCATTGTGAAACTTATAGCATTTATGTAGAGGTGATTTTTAAAGCAGGGAAGATAAAATTGAAGGGAGAGATATGTCTATGAGACATAATGTGTTTCATCTAATAGGCCAGAAAACCAGGCATATTGAAAGGGGATGGCAGGTGTTACAGAAATTCATCACAGAACCAGCTCCTGCCAGTGTCTCACCTGCATAACAGACTTTGGTTTTTGTTATTTCTGGGCTGTCATAAGGGGTTCATTATCATCCTTCTTCCTCATCTATTTTCTGCTTCTTGCTAATGTTGGCTTCAGCTTTGAGTGAAGTTGTGCTGTTGCATATAACACTACCAAGGTAGCATCTGCCCAAGCCAGAAATAACAATAGGATATAATATAACCTAGTTACAAATGAGGTCTTGCCATCTGTGCTACCCCTTCTTAAGTGGAGTTTGGATGATAAAATCCTGATTTAAACTTTCGTAGATAAGCGCAGTTTATTGATAGAAGATGTTGAATTTCTTCTGTTCACTTGCTTTTTAAAAAGATAAATCCCACTTGAAACACTGAGGTGCTTAGGCGTAGAATAACCTGTTCCTGGTGGCACCCTCCAGATCGTACTGAGAAGCACTCCACAATGCCAGACTCACCTGTGGATGTGAAGACGCAATCTAGGCTGACTCCTCCAACCATGCCACCGCCCCCAACCACTCAAGGAGCTCCAAGAACCAGCTCGTTTACGCCAACAACATGTAAGTAGTCATTTTTTTTGATTTTGTGTTTTGGTTTTGAAGATTAAATTAATTTTTTTCCTGCAAATAAAAAGGGAAAAAATGTATTATGCAGAAACGCAGCAAAAAAATCAGTTTGCTAGTCAGTAGGTATCCTATCTTTCGTCTTCTTGACATGACTGCCAATATTTGCCTTCCTTTGCACTGTTTCTTTGAAGTTGGAGTCTCCTATGATTCTAGCAAAGGAAGAACATTGAGTTTGTTTTGTACCTCTACTTCTCACCCCTATAACTTTTAATTTTGTCTAATGTGGAGCTATTTTATTTTAGTTTATTTTGACTTAGAACATATTTCTAGGTTACTTCTGATCTAATACCACTTTCCTTTATTTCAAATAATTATAATATTAAAAATCTAGCTTCCTTAAGTTAAAAAGGGTACTGCTGTACACAACAGTTTCATGCAGATACCTTTCTGAAATTGGTAGCATCAACCTTGTCTTGAGCCTGTCAGGCTTTTGTTAAACCTTTGTTCCATTACCACTTAGCTTGAATCCTGTATTGTTAGCCAGTGGTGTGTATTGCTTTCTGTGCATCCCAGGAAAGGACATAACACTGACAGAGTAGCAACTTCCCTTTCTTTCCTGTATATTCAACAGAGAGAGGGAATAGCTTTGTTTTAGTCGATCTCAAAATTCTGTTTAGAATTGTCATCGAGGATTTGTAAAACTAATAAATGTTATCTGTTGCAGATAATACTATTTACAGACCATGTGCCATGAAATCCATAGGAAGGAAAAATAACTAACAGGCCAAAATAGATCTGTGGGACTATAAGGGATCAACAAAAATACACATCCTAAGCTGTTTATGCAGTGTTGTGCAGCCATTTAAAAGACCTTTCCAAATGTGTAAGGAACAGAAGACTGTGACGTGCCAAGTTGTAACCCTGTCATCTTACATTTCGCTTGTTGTTATCCAAAGTCACAGTGATAGGCATATGTCTCCTGTGAGATGGCTGCTGAGCTATCATTTCTTGACAGGTTACTTTGGTTCTCATTTGGGATAAAAGAACTACATTATTATCTTGAAATAAAACTGTAAGAAGAACAGGTTCCTAACAACTTCCTCAGAATGTTACTAGAGATAGTTAATCACAATTATACTTAAAAATAGGATTGATAAAGATTAATTTGGTAAATTAACTGAATTAAAATAATAGAATCATTATTTTCCTCAGTGAGAAATATGCAAGTTTTTTCTATCTTTGTTTGTATGGATTATTATCTTGATGTTCAAATGAATTTCATTGGAAATAAATTCACTGAATTACTACCAAGCCATGCTCTTGGTTGGATTGAGGTATCTCCTTTCAATTTCTTGAAATAACTCCTTGATAAATACCATATCCATTTGGGCTTCTTACGTAAAATTTGCATTTTTCCCTAAATAAGTGGTTAAGAAATATGAGGGGGAGAAAATAGCCTTCTAATTGGGTGGTATAAGGTTAAAACTTGAAAGTCTATTTCTATAAACACAGCTGTCAGTTGTGTGTACAAAACATGATTAAAAATGTTCAGTGATAAATTTAGTCTCCACCAAATGTACACTTTCTCTAGGGGAGCAGTTTAGGAAGGAATAGTCCTGTTATATTGATGTAAGCCTGTGACAAAAGGCTGACTTGCAAAGCTGTTTGTTCTATGTTTGAAGCATTTCAGGTGGTTGGCATATGTGCACATGGGAGGCAGAGCTGGCCCTGTGTTTCAGCAGACTCCATTTATCATCAGCTTCTGTGCAGAATGCCATCCCTGAGTGTGTGGAGTAGACCCATTTAGTGAGAGAGTGCCTGAGTCTGGCGATCTTGTGAAGTCTAATCATTTTGCAAAAAGTCCAGACATTTTTTGTAATTGCAAAATCACTAGATTTCAGGGGGAAGAAACTTGATAGCAGTTTTCTTGTGCATGTTCTCTCTAAGTTTATTTATTTTATTTTTTCCTACTGATTTTGTGCCCTTGACAGTAACTAATGGCACAAGCCATTCGCCTACAGCCTTGAATGGCGCCCCCTCGCCGCCCAATGGCTTTAGCAACGGGCCTTCCTCTTCCTCCTCCTCTTCTCTGGCTAATCAACAACTGCCCCCAGCCTGTGGTGCCAGGCAACTCAGCAAGCTGAAACGGTTCCTCACTACCCTGCAGCAGTTTGGAAATGACATCTCACCAGAGATTGGAGAAAGAGTCCGCACCCTTGTGCTAGGACTAGTGGTAAGCAGACAGAAACCAACCCTGTTGTCTGTGGGTAGGGGAGAGTGGGGCAGGGAGAGTCAGAAATTTAGACCCCATTCTCATAGCATTTTTGTGCTGTGAGACTGGAGGTTGTGTGCAAGTCTGATTTATTCAGTAACATTTTATGTATATTGACCAACCCCCACCATGGTTTCTTTTACTATTTGACACAGGCACACAAAAAAGAGATAGCTATACAAACTTATTGTTACCTAGTTCATAAATGCATGTTTGTACATACATTTGTATCTGTATATATGTACACGTGTTCATTTACGTATATGCATGTATTGCATGCATATGAATGTATGTACATGTATATGTTAATATATACATATGTACATGTGTGTATGTATATTTCAATAAATATACTCTCCTGGCATTGTTAATGACTTTCACCAAATGACAATATGGTGGTGTTTTGTTACTGACTCATTCTAATTAGGTGCTCATAACTGAGTTGCTTTGAGGGACTTTTATTATTGACTTCGACAAATAAGAATTTTAACAAGTAACAACACATTCTTCTTTTATGTTATTTCTTCTTTTATGCAAACAATTTTTTAAAAATGTTTTAATAACCATACATAAAATTTGCCATCTTGCCATTTTTAACTGTAGGATTCATGGAAATTACATCTACCCATGTCACAGCTGTCACCAGAGTCCATCTCCAGAGCTTTCTCATTACTCCAAACTGAACCCTCTACCCATGAAACAATAACTCTTCATTTCTTCTCTCCCTAACCCTTGGTAACCATTAATTATTGTTTTGTTTTTAAACCAAATCTTGTTATAGATAGAATTACTTAAACTACTAGATTGAGAACAGAATTGTTGATTTTGGCGTATTATATTGCATTTTGTATATTATCACCCCCAAAATGAGAACATATATATCCTTTTTGACCTAAGTCACTTTTACCTTTATTGAGATTTTCTGCACAAGCAGGGAATTTTATAGCATTTAGGAAGGCTATTTTCCCATAACAAACTGAGCCATAGAGGAGCTATAAGACATATATTCAGTCCTTTTATCCAGGCTTATGGTGGAACTGAAATTTGGATGATAGGCAGCAGTTTCCTTTTTCTAGAAATAGATTATTTATTTTTATTACAATCACTGTATCCCACATTTGACAGAGATTTTGCAATTGAAATTTTAGCCATTGCCTTTCCTTTCCAATCCAAGGACAGAAGGCTATGCTATTTCCCACAGTCTCTCAGCTCACCTTACGTACCTCCAGGACAGAAAGTGGGCTTTGGCAGAGGTGTGTCAGGATGCTTTAGGTACTTTGTCACTCTTGAGTTTTACATAATAGACTTTTCAGCAGGTAAATAAGTTAGGCTAAAGAACCACAAAGTAAATCCAAAGCAATAATTGTAGCTAGTAGATACATTATTGGTAAAAATTGTTTTTTTTCCCCCAACCTGCTTTATACATTTAATATGTTCTTTATTAAAAGGTGTTCCAGGGCTGAGATGCAACTTTTTTTAACTTCTCCAGTTAAAAAAAAAATCATAACTTAAAATGTAGAAAACCTTGGTTACCTTAAGTAGGTCTTTCTTCATGTGATATACATTTTTGGGGAACAGGGGGATTGGTACTGGGGATTGAATTCAGGGGCACTCCATCACTGAGCCACATCCCCAGCCCTATTTTGTATTTTATTTGGAGGCAAGGTCTCACTGAATTCCTTAGCATCTCATTTTACTGAGGTTGAGGTTGACTTTGAACTCGTGATCCTCCTATCTCAGCCTCTCTAGCTGCCAGGATTACAGGCGTGTGCCACTGTGCCCCACAGTAAATGGTATACTTTTGAGTGAAATGTTTTTTAAAAATATTTATTTAACTAAAAACTTTATAGAGAAAAATAGGTAAAGTCTAATTAAATGATGTCTTCCATATAATAGATAATGGATATTTGTCAAGTGAGTGCATTAATAAAGAATAAACATTTGCTTTAAGCATTTGACTACAGGCCATTTTATTTAATTCTTGAGACCATCCCTTAAATGAGTGTTTTTTTTACACATTTTATACATGGGGAAACAGAGGTATACAGATATTATAAATAAAATATATGAGGCCACCCAATTGGTAGTAACAATTTGGACTTAGATACTAAATCATAATGAATCACATTATGCTGTTACTTAGGTGGAGCTAAGAAAAGTGTTAGGAAGTACTGTCCCATAGAAAATGAGTCATGGAAACAAAATCATAGATTTTTAAGAGATTGGTTTACTGACTTGTATCGTTACGGGCAGGAAATTTGGCATTTATTGATAGTTTCATGCAAACATGTTTTGAGTTTGAGGGTCTAAAAAAACTTAAAAATTGGTACTTCGATACGTTGTCTTAAAAGGAAATGGAGCTGTACAGAAAAAAGGACGGAACAATGTTCTGATGATGTTCAGATACAAATGCCCCAATTTTGTCAGTCTCTAGAATAATCGAAGGGACTGAAGAGGTTGACACTGAAGTTACATTTGTGATTCTGCCTAGGGACTAAAGAAGATGGATCAAAACATGGTTAGTTTTTCTAGCGCCTTTACAATAGGTTGTTTGTTAAGTAGATGCTTTTATCAACAGTCACAG